GGCCCCGGCCAGTGCGCAGCCCTCCCGGCGCCGGCGAGCTGGGTCTCGGGGATTCCGGCTTGCTTTGGCTCCCTCGCTCTTGCGGGCGACCGGATCTCACGTGCTTCTGTGCGCCCCGCTTCCACTCCATGCGCCCCGCTCTGCGCCAGCAACAGGTAAGGCTGCTGTTTTCTTGCCTCCTCTCGCGCTGCCGGCGTGTCCTGGGGCGTGGACCGGGCCGCCGCCCCTCGCTCTGCCCTGCCCGGCCGCTCCAGAGGTGTCCAGCTGTCACCCGGCTGCCGCGCTCACCCGCGCTCCGGAGTCCCGGCTCATGCCTGTGCAGTTTGTGTGCGCACCAGAACATCCCCAGAGCTAAAAATACTGAGACATGCTCGGAACAGTTGAGCAATAGAAACAGATTTCTCTGCAGCATCTGTTTGTGCTCATAACTTCCAGTGCACCAGCTGTAGCGAGGTACTGGGTTTGGAGGCAAGGGCGAGAAAGGCTGTCTTCCATTCTCACCCTAAGGAAAACACAAACAAACAAACAGAAAGGTGGGTGCGGGGTGAGGGTGCGTCTCGTGCCCTGGTCTTAGGGCTTGGCAAACCTTGGGACTCAGCGTCATTGTTGATCCTTGGCGTCTGGGCTTGTCTTTCTTTCTTTATTTCTTCCGGTGATTGCTGCAAGTATAGCTGTGAGTTTCAGAGAGAGTAGCTCAAAGTTGCTTTCCTGGGAAAAGAGCGGGAGTCCGAGCTGGATTTGAGCCTGAAGACCGCAGAACTTCCACATTCTCTATCACTCTCCCCTGAGCGATGTGTTATTCTCAGTAATAATGGTATTAATGCCTAGCTGGAAGACAGCATGGTTTTAGGGAAGCAAAACGTCTTGATTCTGCAGAAGGATTGCATCATAACATGGATTCATCATGACAATTGAAAAAAAAAAATAGAACCGGGAAATGGGCAGTTTAATGTCTGCGTCTGTAATGTGGAGGATAGTAACTGGAGTAAGACGGTGAATTCAGGGGATTTGCATGAACCCAGAATTTACCTGTTAGGGTTTGAGGCGTTCTTTGAAAACCCGTTCTGGGTATGCGAAAGATTGCATACTGCCTTTTACCGTTTGTTTTCTTTTCACGCTAATAATCAATAGGCTGTGAGATTGACTCTCACTGTCCACTGCTGTGTGTCTGTTGTGCATTTCCTCTACACTTGTTAGCTTTTTCCTGCCCAACTGTTTTATTTATATTTGCCGTTATCTGGAAAAATCTTGATGCTCAGAAGGAGTCAGTGATGTCACTTCAAGGAGGGTGAAAGGGGTGTGGGTTGTGGTCAAGGTCATCTTACTTAGCTTTCTGCCTCTCCCCTTCATATTTTGGTGGCACTTTAAAAAAAAAAAAAGGGTTATTGGTACCCTTAAGGAATATTTATATTTATTCTACACTCTTGTGAGTCTGGTTTTTTTTTTTTTTTTTTTTTAAGAACGCAGTCTTTCTGCATCCTTCAGACTCTCCAGTGGTAGAATCTCTGGTTAGCCGTAGAGTCCTTGCATGACTTTTGAATAGCCTGAAAGATTGACAACTTTACATGAACAGATCAACTGCTTCCAGCTTTTTTTTTTTTAAGTGTGTGTTTTTATTTACCAAACTTGGGTATTTTTCAATATATGCAAATGCTGAGCAATGTTGTAAGCATTGTTGGATATAAATGTTAGAGATCGCGCTTATAAATAAATGGGTATCCCCCTTCTCTCCAGACTTCCCCCTTCCTCTTCCTTCTGTTTACTGAACTTTAAGAGGTTGCATTGCTAGCAGTTGTGCTCACATAGCAACATGCACCCAGAGCACACTCAGGCCTGTCTATATGGCGTCAGCTGGGGAATAGCTGCTCTGAACACTCATTAGCAGAACTCTCTTTCAGCCCAGTATGTTTTTTTTTTTTTTTTTTTTGCTATCTTTATTTCCTGTCCTCAGGAACTTTCTTACTCACTATACACCATGAACATATCATGGGACACATTTATGCTCACATATTCCTCATGATTATATGTTTTGGTTATTTATAAGCCATACTGGAAATATTTTCTATATAGTAAACGCAATTTAGATCCCTCCATTTGTACCATGTGATCTTCTTGACCCTGTATTTATCCATCGTTCTCTGTCCTTTAACATCTACCTAAGATTGAAGTGCTGAACTATTTTTTTCCATTGCTTATGCTTAATTTTGGCTCAGCCTATAAATAGTCTTAACATGAACAGCACCACATGTAGCCTCTCAATTTCCCAGAAATACTTTCTACATCATTGGTTATGGCCTGGATAAAAGTGATTATTTGTGTCCACTAAATTTACATCCAAATCCTTAAATATTTTGGCTGAAAGGGGAATTTACACATTGTTCATCAAATCAGATATCAATTACCGGTAGTTGTATTCATCAAGAAGTCAAATCACTTAGTGTTTTCATCTATTCTTAATTGTTCCAAAAGAATTATTTTGAATATATGCTTGAAATAAAGTTGCATAAAAGCTCTATTTTTTAAAAAATGGAAGCTTTTCCCAGATGGTCATGAATTAGTGATTTCTAGTGAGCGAAGAACAAGCAAGGAAGTTTTTTTCCTTGCTTCAAGTCGCTCAGGCATGGGGGCAGGTTGACAGAAAAAGCAGTCTTTACAGCTAGCTTGTTAAACTCTGACAGGTACTTGACTTTTGCTATGTAATCGGCTTCACAGAAGTCTGACTATATGAAATACATACGCAAAAATCTGGGGCACATGTTCCTGGAATGACAAAAGTTTCCATTAAAAAAAAAAAAACGTCTTCTTTTTCCCTTTCTGGGAAGAAATGGTACAATTTTGTAAACGGTGCTACAAATTCTGTCATCAGCAATGGAAATAAGACAATACTAGTCGCTCAGTACAGGCTATCTCAAGGTTCTAAATGCGGAATGCTATTCATAGGAAACTGGTATTGTGTGATTTGTGGAATTCAAACAAATGTCCTGGGGTCAAGGTTTTTGGAAAGTCATAATCCAGTCTTTAGATTTCATGTGGTTGTTAGGTTTTAATCTGGAAAGAGTGCAGAAATCAGTCGGAAGAAATTCGAGACTGTCTATTCATGGTCCCTAATGGTAAATCAGATGGAAGGACTGTTTTGAATAATAAAAAGAGAATTTCTTGGTGTCATCTTATAATGTGAGGTTCCGAAGCCAATTAGAACTTAAGGATACAAAGCACTCTTTAAATGAAGCTCTCTCTATGTCCTCCTATTTTACAAAGTGCACCTGCATTTGGTGGTGTTGCTGTCTCTGTGCAGACATGATTGCAAATTTCATGTGAGCCGTCTAAGCTGAAATTATTGTTTACAAAATGCTTTCCATGTCTACGATCAAGAACCCCGAGGAATAGGATTTCTTTTTTCATTCGTCCAAGTGCGAACTTCATAGGGAAGCAGACAAAACATTGAAGCAGGTGGAAGGTTAGGAAGGCACAGTAACTTCTTTTTATAAAGTAATTCAAAGGCACTTTAAAATCGGGCATCATTTAGGTGTCAAAAGCTGCCAAAATGTAACACACATTGCAATTTTCATAGATGACTAATCTCAGGAAAAAATGTGTTGGGGCACATTCTTGCATAATAACTTGGATAAAGAGCGAGAAGTCAAAAGATTGTAACAAGACATTTTCAGACACAATGCACCTTGCCTTTTTCAAAAGGGAGGCACAAAAACAAGATAAATGGTTTTCTTCATTTGTTTGCCACTGGCTTGGCTGAAGTTGGTTCTGTTAGCAGTTCAATCTTAATGGCTTTAGGGGAGAAATAAAAAGTGGAGTTTTCATTATCAGGCTTCAGCACATTTCTGATCCTTTTCATGTGTCATTCGTTGCCTGCCTGACATACAGAAGATGGATTTAGTTGTTTGAAAAGTTGAGAATCACTTTTGTTTTTTAGTTCTAAACTGTATTCATTTTGTTAGTACACAGTTGGTGCAGAAAATACCTTAGAGTTTTTCTGAGGCTTTTGCTAGTTAGTCAAGGGGGGGGGAAATTTCTTAGGAGTAAAGAAGGAAAGTTAAAGTAAATAGATAGTTTTCACCTAGGGGAGATGAGGCAATCGGAGAAAACTGAAAAGTACTATGTGTTCTTTTAAGAAAAGGTGAGTGCTTTCTCCATAGAAACCTATAGCAAACAACAGCACTGGAAGTATAGGTAAGCGAACTGGCATTTGTGATCTGTCCTTACAAAATTGTCTCTGTTTGAGAGAACACAGCATTGGATTCACATGAAGTGAGTTCCTGCCTTATCTCAATCGGCCAAAGACCTGGTCCTTTGGCACGATGTTGCTTACTTCCTAGCCTGTCATTACACATGGCAGTCCCATCTCCGGAGAATTTCAGGACTCTTATTGCTAGGCAACAGAATTACGCTTTATCCCCCAGAGCAAATCTGAGTCTTCAAGTCAGAGTCACTTGCACTAATAGAGATGTTATCAAGCATTTCTGCATGGTGGCTGCTTAAAGTGTGAGAGGTGATGAAGGAAGCCCAAACACTATCCAGAAATTGGGATCTATTTCAGATTGTTATAAAGGCTGTCTGCTCAGTTATGTTGTTTAACCAAAATAATCTGTGTCTTCTGATTTCAACCTTGTCATCCAGAGTTCTAGCATACTCCTATAATGCATGTGCAACTCAATGATTATCAGTGCTGCCTTCATATGAAAAGTTCTCTAGAAATGTCCTAATTTGTGAAAAACCTTGGAAGCAGAAAGTCCTTCTTCTGCTTACTAACTTGGCAACCTAGCAAGTAGGGAAGGCAATGGAAGAAAATCAAAGAGCGCAGAGGGGATCTGAAAAATAGTATATTCTAGATTAGTGGCAAAAAAAAAAAAAAAAATAGGGCAAATGGAACCTTCAATTTTGGTTGAACAACAGTCACAGACAACTTTTCTATGTTTAATGACTGGATGCTTTTAAGTAAATTTTTAAAAAATTCAGAGTACAGAGAAATCAAAATCCTGTCATTCAAAGTAAAGTGTATTTCTCTATCTGATTCTGTGTTTTTGTTAGGCTGTCTTGCCTCCGTCAGTATTTCCCTTTAAAGTGACTTCTTTTGTAATGAACAGTCTCTCTCTTCTTGCAGGACATGTTCTCCGGATGTCAGCTGAGTGGCTGAGGTAACTGCATGTCAGTAGACGCACCTTGGTAGACGCTCGCGGCTCCTGGAGACACCCATCCCTCCTCATTGTTTGTTTCTTTTTTTGGTGTGTGTGTGTCCTCACTGAACATTCAAAACTGTTTCTCCAAAGGGTTTTGCAAAAACTCAGACTGTTTTCCAAAGCAGAAGCCCTGGAGTCCTCAGCAGAAGCTATGGGCAGTGTGCGAACAAACCGCTACAGCATTGTCTCTTCAGAGGAAGACGGCATGAAGCTGGCCACCATGGCAGTCGCAAATGGCTTTGGGAACGGGAAGAGCAAGGTCCACACCCGACAGCAGTGCAGGAGCCGCTTTGTGAAGAAAGACGGCCACTGTAACGTTCAGTTCATCAACGTGGGTGAGAAGGGACAGCGGTACCTTGCAGACATCTTTACCACGTGTGTGGACATTCGCTGGCGGTGGATGCTGGTGATCTTCTGCCTGGCTTTTGTCCTCTCGTGGCTGTTTTTTGGCTGTGTGTTTTGGTTGATAGCTCTGCTCCATGGGGATCTGGATGCGGCCAGAGAGGGCAAAGCTTGTGTGTCTGAGGTCAACAGCTTCACCGCAGCCTTTCTGTTCTCCATCGAGACCCAGACAACTATAGGCTACGGCTTCAGGTGTGTCACGGACGAGTGTCCCATCGCCGTGTTCATGGTGGTCTTCCAGTCCATCGTGGGCTGCATCATCGATGCCTTCATCATTGGCGCAGTCATGGCGAAGATGGCGAAGCCGAAGAAGAGAAACGAAACTCTCGTCTTCAGTCACAACGCCGTGATCGCCATGAGGGACGGCAAGCTGTGTCTGATGTGGCGTGTGGGCAACCTTCGCAAAAGCCACTTGGTGGAGGCTCACGTGCGCGCACAGCTCCTCAAATCCAGAGTCACTTCGGAGGGGGAGTACATCCCCCTGGATCAGATAGACATCAACGTGGGCTTCGACAGTGGAATCGACCGCATATTTCTGGTGTCTCCCATCACCATAGTCCACGAAATAGACGAAGACAGTCCTTTATATGATTTGAGCAAACAGGACATTGACAATGCAGACTTTGAAATTGTGGTCATACTGGAAGGCATGGTGGAAGCCACTGCGATGACGACACAGTGCCGCAGCTCTTACCTAGCCAATGAAATCCTTTGGGGCCACCGCTATGAGCCTGTACTCTTCGAAGAGAAGCACTACTACAAAGTGGACTATTCGCGCTTCCACAAAACCTATGAAGTCCCCAACACGCCCCTTTGCAGTGCCAGAGACTTAGCAGAAAAGAAATACATCCTCTCCAATGCAAATTCATTTTGCTATGAAAATGAGGTTGCCCTCACGAGCAAAGAGGACGAGGACAGTGACAACGGAGTTCCAGAAAGCACCAGTACGGACACACCCCCTGACATAGACCTTCACAACCAGGCAAGTGTACCTCTAGAGCCCAGGCCCTTGCGGAGAGAATCGGAGATATGACTGACGGATTCCTTCTCGGGAATATTTACTTTACAACACGGTCTGTTGGTCAGAGGCCCGAAAACAGGTATACAGACGACGGTACTGGTCAAGAGGGGGTCGAGTGCGAGCGGCCGCAAGGGACTGAGGCAAGCACAATGGTTTCAAAGAAAGACTGTGAGCTTGGCGGTCAACGTAGAGCACTCAACATGCCTCCGCGTGAGCCAACGGCACATATTTGTTGTAGAATAAGTTATGGGTTTTTATGTTTCGTTTTGTGTTTTTACCAAACTTGAACTTGCAGGCAAGCCTTGGTTGGGTATTTGACTTATCCAGAATGCTTCTCTTTGGGGAACAGGATGTTTTTAATGGCATAACAAAGGCAAGACTCTGCCTTAATTTTTGAAAAGCTGCTAACTACATGAACACAAATTGTATTTTTGTTGCAGTGTAGTTTTTCTTTTGTGTAATTTTCCAGTCAGTGTTGAACTTTGTTGAAAACTCATGATGCACTTCAGAGTGGCAAGTATTTGGCTATTAACTGCCAAAACAAGAGCCCGATTTTTGGAGGCCAGTAATTTGTTTGCTAGAATTGATTTCTCTCTCTCTCTCTCTCTCTCTCCTCTCTCTCTCTCTCTCTCTCTCTCTCTCTCCTCTCTCTCTCTCTCTCTCTCTTTGGTTACATAAGGACATTATGTAACACTAGCCAAATGGTAGCCTCTGGGTTTTTGTTTTTGTTTTTTTCCTCCATGATGTTAATGGGTTATCTCAAATTTTAAGTTAGACTACCTAAAATAAATACCAAAGATAATGCATATTTTTGCACAGTGGAGCTTACACTAAAAAGGAAACAAAGCCCCATGGGCTGCCTTGAAATCAAGAGACGATAACTTTGAACCTCATCAAGACCTTGAACTGCCGGTTCACTTTGCACCTTATTCAGAAATTAGAGCATCATACACACAGAGTCTAGTAAGTGTAGTGCTGTTTAGATTTTTTTCTTTTACGTAACTTTCTTATTTGAAGAGGAAGAAGAAGAAGGGGGAATACACACACACACACACACACACACACACACACACACACACACACACACATTATCCGCATCTTTTATTTCCTGCTAGGTAGTTAGGTAGTACTGGCCAGGCAAGTGCATAAATCTGAGATGGTGATGTGCTGTTAGATTTTTCTGGGATTTCCCTTATTGCACATTCCAAGATTTATTCCATAAGATGGGATCTTCACTGAACCTCATTGGCATCCTGGCACCCTCAAAACTGAGCCGTCCACTTGAAAGATAAATAGACTTAAACCTTTGCTGCTTGAATTCGTTGCCTTGACTGTGAGGGCATTTCCAGCTTGACTTCACCTTAAGAAAGATGCCATGCCTGGCTTCCAAATTTGTTCTTCTGATCAGTCTATTTGGAGTGAGTTCTACTGTCAGAGAGGGCAGCAGATGCCAAAGTGGGGAAACAAGGAGATGTAGACAAGCCACTTTGATTCAAGGCTTCAGATCGAGTATTCAGCAGGGAGAAGAAAGTTGCCTTTTTCCACAACAGAAGGTAGCATTGACAACGTCTCAGTATTTTCAGGTCAAAGAGACCCGCCCCCCAAATAGAGCACAATCACAAATAAAGGAGACAGTGTTCTAAAAGGGTTATTTCCCCTTTGTGGGTGCACATTCACAATTAAGTGTGAGCTGACCATTGTCTTCTATGGACCCCCAGAGCAGGTTACTAAGAAGGACATTCTGTTTTCCAGAATCCTCTCCTGGCTGGCTGTCTGCCTTACTAAAAACGTTCTGTCTTTTCTGCTCTAGCTCAATAATGAAACTCTTTTTTTTTTTTTTTTTTTTTTGGTTTAAAGTTCCCTATTTGTGAATTCTGGGGTTACTGACTTTTCTTTTTAATTGGAGTCTCAACATCAACTCTCTTATGGTATTATATATCCCAGTATGCCATTAAAAAACAGCTTGTTCTAGAATCATGTATTTTTGTAAATTGATGTTTGTGATGGTCTCTGGTTCTTGAACAGCCATATCTGAATGCAGTGCCTGCAAAAATAGGACAATTTCTGCTGTTTTCAGCCTTCAGATTTGATGGGTTTGACAACTGTGGTGTTATTTTCATTGAAACCAAGAAAGAGATGTTAAGCAAGTGGATATTATTTTTAAATCCAAATTTAAAGACAGGTTTGGGAAGTGGTTTAAAGAGTTGGAGGGATTGGGGATTGAGTGAAAGAGAACTTACAGAGGGGGCAACAATTTGGTCATTGACAGTGAGACAATATTGAGGGCGTCAGCTGCTGCTATTCTGATGTTTTGCAAAGGAAAACAATCAAACCAAAGAGTATTCAGTGATACATCAATTAAGTGAAGATGCAGTGGAGAATGAGGGTGGCCACCAAAAAGTCTCCCCTCACACACACAGTGCTGCCACTTAAAAAGACTGGAGATATTTGAAAGGGGGTGGGCATGGGGGCAAGAAAGAGGGAGGGAAATCTTTCAACTAATTTCTAAAACAAAAAAATCTAAAATTTCTGGTGCACAAGTTTGTTTTGTTTTGTTTTGTTTTCAAGAAAATTTTGCAGAAGCTATGTTTTTAAAGTGTACATTTTATAAAGTTTATCAGATATTTTCATATTTAAAGCCAAATGTAAATAGAAGTCTGTAAAGGAAAAAAATGCCATAGAAAGTATAATTTCAGTGCAGCAGTTTCTGAGAGCTAGTACCTATATGCTACCGGTTAGCATGGTTTTAGCAAATATTTACCAGCCTTATAAGGTTCGTATTGCTATGTTCTTCTGTTATTTATTTCAGCATGGACTGTTCATTTGAAAGCTTTATTTGTAGTTAGTTATTAGCATTTTAACAGTTACAAGCTTTAACTGGCTTTTTAATTTTTTTGTCAAGAGCCAAGACACAGGTAATGCACGACATTTATTGCTGCATTTTACCTTTAAAATATTTGTCCTTATTTGACTGGGTCTCCTTTACTGTGTACAATGTCATGAGAGTCCAATGGAGGGGCCTCACCGTGAATATCTGGGGTCAGTCTCCAGATGTGTGTTGCTTCTGTATCGCAAGCAAATCCCTGTTGAATTTACTTAGGACGTATTCTCTTTTAAAGACTTCTTGCCCATGTCAGGATGGGCACTATATTTTTGGGGGGGAGTCATAGATTCCTGGTTATCCTATTTTTAAATAAAATGTAGACAAAGTGAATTCTATTTTGATTATTGAGAAAGGAATAGTTTTCTATCCCTCTAAGGGTATACTTGAATCAGACATTTTAAGGATGTCACTATAGCACTGTTGTTGTTTCCAAATTCCTAGAAGAGTTCGTTTCACTTTGTTTTTATTCTGTTAATGCATTCTTTCTTCACATCCCTTTCTTTCTGCCCTATACACTTCTGTCCCAAATCTCGGTGTTTATCTGAAGAGCTCTATCCCCCTCAGTCATCGTCCCTTTGCAAATAATAAATGTCAGTTCATGTTTTATAACACGTTACTCAGTGAAGACAAAAAGCTTATCCTGAGAAGTAGAGTGAGTTTTCTTTTTAATCACTCTGTGTCTAATAATGTTAAGGTGAAAAAACAAGTGTTGCATAGTCACCTCTCCATCCACTACCATCAGCAAACCAGAATCTCTTTTCTAGTCGTGTTAGATTTCAGCTCTGAGCTCTGGCAAGTTGAACAATCCTGGTCTTTGACAATCATGAGAGTTATTTTCCCATTTGCCGTCTTTTTGTATCTAAAGTCTTCCTATTGTACTGCACAAACCATGGATTGTACATATTTTTATATATTATGTCTTATTTTATTATTTCTAAATAAAAAATTAAAAATGGAAAACAGATTGGTGCAAGAATCTTTGGACTTCCTGTATGATTACTATAGAAACGCTGAGATACAAAGCACATGTTTCCAAACTATAGAACATAAACTTGATAGGATGAATAGAGCCATAGAAACTGCCTAAGCGGGCAGGTGCAGTGGGTGGCAGATGAGTTTAATCCAAGTTAGCGGAAGTCAAGCTCATATTTTGTTTTTGGACAGAAAGGCCTAAGTAGAAAGAGGATAGAAAAGACCAAAAGGCAAGCAAAGGAAACTGACAAAATATCATAAAGTTTGGAGTTTGATTCTCTATTTAACGATAATGACATGTAGTTACTCTTTAGTGAGCCTCAACTGTGTGTAGAGTTCCTGCCTTAAGTGTTCATTTGATCTCGTTCTCACAAAAGAATAAATCAGGGTATTATTATTGTCATATTGTAGACCGAGACTTGGCGAGCAAGTTCCATGAAAGGCTGTAGAGTCAATATTTTTGGCTTTATGGACAAGAGAATCTTTGTCTCGACGAAGCAAATCCACCCTTGTTGTGAGAAAGCGGTCGCAGTCTGAGGACAAGCCGCATGGCTGTGTTCCAGCAAAGCTTTGCTTGCATCTGGAGATGGTGGGTCACAGTGGGCTTGTGGCTTATCGCTTGGGGACCCCTTTGATGGAGGAAGAAACTGAGTCTAAATTTGAAAGCTAATAAATCAGTGAGGTAATTTTATCCGCCTGCAAACCTAGTTGAATCCGCTAAACTAGATAGTGTTTCGGGACACACAGCTGCCCGGGATATGTGGTCTCAGAGAAAATGCCACTTCCTCTGGCATTGTTAAGTTGTTCCTTAATATTTTTTTGTTAACAAAGGCTCATATGGTGCTAATCATATTTCAGTTAGAGTTCTAAGTTCTTCGTAAATATGACATAATTTCAGAGCAACCCTATGGAATAGGCTCCATGATGAGCCTCGGTGGAGAAATGAAGACACTAAGCCCAGAGGGGTAAAGCGTCTTTTCCAAGTGTACACAGCTAATAGGTATTCGTGCGGAGATTTAAACTGAGGCCATTCAGCACTAGACTGTGCTTGTTATCACTACTCTATGCTGCTTTCCATTTGGAGATATTCTTGGTAAAAGCTTTGCTGTTTCCTCTAAGGCCTTTCTGCTTTTCAGTTTTTATCTTCGCCAGTAATGAAAATACACATTCCCCCCCCAAACTCCACCCCCAGGATACATTAGCACCGAATTCTCGCCTCCTTCCTGATCTCCTCAATTCCTTGTTTAGTGTTTGGAAAGAGGCAACAATTCACAAGGGGTAGAATATGTGCAAACATCGGTTGTGGGATTTGGGTAAATTTCAAACTTCAGACTAATTTCAATTAGCATAAAGGAATTGTTTAGGCCTGTCTTCGGGCGAAAACACAGAGTTCTGTTAGTAACCCAACAGCAGGCACACTTCTGCTTTCTGCCCGGGGTGGCAGCCAGTGGTGTAACAAGATCCTTTGGATGACTGAGTCAATTAAGCAAGATCTGTGATGGCAGCGCCAGGCAGTGAGTTGAATACTATACGGGGTCCTCCTCTAAAAAGCCAGGCTCGGTGGCTCAGCCTATGATCCCAGCGCTTTGGGAGGCTGAGGTGAGTGGATTGCCTGAGCCCGCAATTTCGAGACCCGCCCAGGCAACTTGGCGAGACCTCGTCTCTACAATAAATCAAAAATTAGCGGGGCG